ACACCTTAAATGCCGGTCCCTGAAAATATTGTCTGACATAAACCGGTCCGTGGGGCAAAAAAAGGTTGGGGGCCCCTGATATAGGGTATATCTTCTCAATTCAAGTCATCCATTTGGGTTTGAATCACGATCAGGCATAATGTCACACAAGATGTTAGGATATTGACTCATTTCAGCGAGCATCGGAAGGATTTACAAAACCTGAGTGGTTTGCGTTTTCTTTGGAATTTACGACTTCAAAGCAGTCCCACATCAGCATGTCACATCTTTTTTTTTTTTTTTTTTAACCGGCATGTCTTCACTAGAAAAAATAATGTCCTGTTGAGTTCAGGGATGGGTAATTCAATTGCTGGAGGGGGCCGCAATTTTTCATCAGTGCTACTGGGGGGGGTCACATAAGCCCACGCACTTTCTAACCCTGACAAAAATGAATAAATATGGATAAAATACGTGCATACGTGCAAAATAGGTGCTCTTCATATATTTCATTTTCCATCATACATTTTTCAAAACATGTATACAGTGATCCCTCGCTATTTCGCGGTTCGTTTATCGCGGCTTCAGTGCGTCGCGGATTTTTTCAAACATATTCATAAAAAATAAATAAATAAATAAAATTTCCATATACATGGAGTACAGTACTGTATATGTTGCTCTATGTGACTCGCTGTTGTTTTGCTGACTTTCGCAGCTTCTCGCAGACCGTTTGCAGACTTTTTGCGGACTTTAAAAAAAAAAAAACTTTTAATATGTTTACTGTATTTTGTTATTCATAAACTAACCTAACTTATACATGTTTAAATCTATTAGTAAATCTACAGCATTAAGTCATGTTAATTACTTCAAAATTTACTTCTACATGCATGTATACCATTAAACTTGGCCTTATGAATTTTATGTACATGTACCTACATAGAGGGGGGGTCGCTACTTCGCGGATTTTCGTTTACCGCGGGTGGTTTTGGTCCCCGTTAACCGCGATAAACGAGGGATTACTGTAAAGTACATTGTATACCTACTGCGCTACATAAAGGAGGCTAGGTTCTATTCTGGGGCTGCTTTGCTACATCCAGAACAGAGTTGTCTTGAATCTGGGTCCATTCATTCATTCATTTTCCGAGCCGCTTTATCTTCACGGGTTGCGGTGGGTGCTGGAGCCCATCCCAGCTGTCTTCGGGCAGTAGGCGGGGGACACCCTGGACGGAGAAGCGTGGCTTGACGTGTGTCAAGCGTGACAGACGGATGTAACGGAGAATCCGGTAATTTTTCAAAATACAACATCTTTCGTATTCCGAAATAAATAAAACGTAATTAAGGCAAGTTCTTTCTGTGCGGCCCGGTGCCAAATGCCCTGCGGACCGGTACCGGTCCGCGGACCGGCGGTTGGGGACCCCTGCTCTATGTGACTCACTGTTGTTTTGCAGCTTCACGCGGACTTTTTGTGGACTTAAAAAAAAAAAAAATCTTTTTTTTTTAATTTTTTTTTTTTTTACACCTGTATATATTTATTGGTCGTTTATTGGTCGCTACTACGGATTTTCGTTTATCGCGGGTGGTTTTGGTCCCCATTAACCGTGATAAACGAGGGATTACTGTATACTGTGCTTTTTTTTTCCCCAGTCCAAAGGGCTCTCGCATAAAATGTACCATTTCTAGATGGTACAAAACTGCTGAACAGCAAACTAACATTGCATGCATGAACTCATTTTGTATTGTCTTTTGACAAAATCAACTCACTTAAAATGTTAATATTATTTAAATAATGTACTATGTCCTGCATATTATTCCGAATCCGCAAAACAATTATTATGCCTACTCACATTATAGTGTGGCTTCTAAATTAAGAACCTGCCAAATACGGGTAAAAATTTATTTTGAAACCGAGACTAGCATTCCAATTCTTCTGGAATCGTTTGCATTTTGAGTGAGTGAGTTTATTTGAGCGCCATGCTAAAACGGAATCGACAAATTTCAAAACAAAGTTACAATCAATAATAGGTTGAAGTCCAACGACCTTGTAAATATCCTACCCGTGCGACCAAAGCCAGATGAGAGGTAGCACGTACACAATACTGTACAGATTTTGCATTATTGCATGATTGCATTGCTTTTAAATGTTAGACTTTTCATCATGTAAAGCATATTGAGTTATCTTGGCTTTCATATGAAATAAAATAAAGCTTCCTTGCCTTGCCTATTCAATCCATCAATGTCCTTTTTTCTTGTATATAAGAGAGTAAAGTGGAAGATCTAAGTGACATGACTTCAGTCAAGTCCTGTCTTATACGACCTACCGGTACTTAAATGTTTTATTGGCTTTCCATCATGTCAAATGCATCACAACTGTTTAGATGCATGCCAATAGTATCATGTATTTCCCTTGTGGTTCACAATGGTTTATCATTCTCATTATTTTGATTATCTACCACAATGATGATTCTTTATGTCGTGAAACTTCCTCATTATGAATAGGACCTTTCTTTGGAAAAGGTCAAATAGCATCAAATGATGATGAGACGGGGATGGATGACGTGGACTGGATTCGCTTTCCTGCTCAGCAAAAATGCCGAACAAAACTACCGCCGATAATCGATATATTTTATTGGAATTAAATTAGAGGCAAGCTTGTGGCTACTCCTTCGAGAGAAGGAACCAGGAAAGACCATCCAGAAACTTGCAAACACATCAGAAAGAAAGTTTGTCCTGCCAAAAAGCCTCTTTCAAATTTTTTTACCGACGGATATTTTGTTTGACATTTGCTCGGGTGTAGTTTTCTTTGGAACTTTTCTGTGACTGTTTTTCAGTTAAACACATGGCAAACGAAATTGTGGCTTGAATGGAGTTTGGAACTTTGGTGGTTTCTCTCCTCGGGGATTTTCGGAGAAGGGATAAGCCTGGTTGATTTTATTAGGCTCTACAGTTGAAAGATGATTTCTTTTTTTTCTGCATCAACATCGCATGATGAACGGTTGTCCTCTGCTTAAAAAAATGAACACTGTGGTTATTTTATCAGCAAGCTTCATGTCGGCCAACTGGCACACAGGCAAACTGGGAGCAGCACGAATGAATCCAAACAGTCGAATTGTGGCTGGAAAATCAAGTCTGGGAGCTGAGAGGTGCTGTAAAGTTTTGCTGAAGGAAGGAAACTGGAGACAGCATGTGATACTCATTTATGTTTGAATTATAAATGACAAATCTAGCTTGTAAGTGACTCGCTTTTACACCCTGGGGTACGTGGATGTACTCTTTTGGTAAACTGACGCCATGATCTTACAAATGCAAACGCCTGCCATGACGTAAATGCTTCCGCTTGCCTCCCAAGTCACACAGTCGCTTCCTTAACTGCTGAATCACTGCTAGTAGAAAGAGCAGCGACGCTGCGACAGGCTTTCAAAAATACAGCAGCAACGGACCACCCGCCCCTATCTCATTCCGCACAACCACTCTCATGTCCCCTGGTGTCGTTTCACCTTGCCGGGCGAACTCGGGAAGACGGTTGGCATCCTTGCACTCACCATGAAACATAAAGAGGGTTGACTACTATCTTTTTCAACGTCCTGTGCATCATCCATCCATATAAAATCACCTTGACACACAACATACTGCAAACCACAGCACACTTTGATGTAAAAACCAAATGCAGTCATGTGAGTCTTGATGGGTGAATCAGAACTGTCTTTCTATCTTAAGAATGATCCAAATTTTTTACATCAACACTGTAAACTGTAAAACTAAATATGTGACAGATGATTGACAATTTGGCCTCATTTATGCAACTATAGTATGTCTTTGGCACCCTTTGAGGGAGCTTTTTGCCAAGATCCGCAGTGTGACAGATAGCAGGCTCATTCATTGCTCTTGTTTTTGGACAGAAATTGGACATCAACTGACATTTGCCCAAGATGTGGCTCAAAGGAGGTGAGCGCAAGTGAGAGGAAAGAAAAATGAAACACATGCCCCCTGCAGGCATTTCACCTTGGAGTGTGGCTCCTGCACAGCTTCCTCCAGGAGTGAAAAGGTAAACTCCTTTTATGGTAAAAGGGCAAGAATGTGCACCATGGCACAAAAGCAGGCAAGTGACCGATTTTGCTGTGAGCAGGAATTTTGCAGACCAAGACTCCGCCAAACTGGGTGAGCAAAAGGAGTGTATTGGAGGTAGCTGGCGGAGTGAGAATTTGATGGCAGAAAGTCTAAACCTTGCGCCTCCTCAGACCACGTTGAACACTGGTACAGGGTACACACTTGGTGTAGCATGACATATTTCATTCATACATTTGTGAACAGTGGGAATCAAATCCTCTTAATTATTGCATGAGATATTTTTTAAATGATTCCACTGGGTGGAACAGCCAAGGGGGAAGCACACGAACAATCGGAGGTGGGGCGTGGTTTCCAAGTGCCCACTCATGGAGCAAATGCGTTTCTGCCATATCAAGACTCTAATGCAAATAGTACGATGCATTTAAAGGGAATAAAAAGAACTGCTTTGATTGGCCACTGTTAGGCTGTGACCACTCCCACAGTGGCGCAGCCCTCACTCTCGCTCTCTCTCATATTCAAACTTACCAACCGAGAGTCTGTACACAGTTATGCTACACACTGCACAGTATTTACGTAAAAAAAGACCCCAAAGGCTCATGTGATTTTACAACAGACACTTGCAGCCTGTATTATACTTAGTAAGACATCACAGAATGCATGTGTTTATTATTCTTTTGGGTTACTCTCCAAGTAGGGATAGAGAAGGTTCAATGTCTCAGAAAAGTGAGAAAGTCACACATACTCACAACATAATGACTGCATTTATGTTAGCACAGGAGAGTTCACTTGTCATTTTTGGTGCATCTATTTCAGATACATAGAAGAAAAAAGTATGCTTCAAGCTTTTTCAACATTTGTTAAAAAAATGAGAGAACAAAAGAGAATGAGAGAGACAGAGCCCAGTCATTTGGTAGCAAATTCTCACTGGTGGTCCCCAGGAAAATGGAAAAAAAAAAGTGTTTTTTTGGGGGGGAGGGTGCTGGGTGCTGATGAAGTGCAATCTTCATAAGTCTACTGCTACACTCTTACAATAGTGCAGTACTCCCACAGAAAAATGAAACGCATGGTGGCATGTTAAAGTGTGTGCAATTTTCACACTATTGTAAATAGAAAGTGTCTCTTTGCTGCATTCACAAATCATTCAAGCCCAAACATGTTTGTCGATCCATTCGGTTGTTTTGTTGGCGCTCGAAGAGTCATTTGTCATTGTGCCAATCTAAACTAGCACTTCAGTCAACTAGACTCAAGGGGTATTACTGGCATGAATATTACGATGGGTACATTGTCTGAAATAAATGACGCTTCCACTGAGCACTTATTGTCTCATGTAATCGATTGCGAGGTAGCTTATCTTACCAAAATATTAGAAACCATTTCAGAATGATGCAGCACGTTTCTAAACGACAGCAAGCTACAATCAAAATAATCAAAACATCTTTTGAGGCTGAACTTTTCCAGTGCGTGCGCACGCCTGTAAGTTCGCAACTCAGAGCTTGTGATGTCTGCCTTTGCAACACAACGCACATGGCCGGGAAGTCATTATTTCTCATACCATCCACAGACACAAACCCAACACACTCAGTACAAGCAGGAACAAATCTCAGTAGGTCGGAAAGGTTTCTGTATTTATATGTTAATATGTATGAAATTTTTACCCTAATGGTTCCTAAAAACAATCCAGTATAAAAATGGTGTAGGAGGCCCAAGTGGTTATCAGAAACAAGGTACAGGTTTTATTTCTGAAAAGTGTATTTAATATTAGGGCAAACCTCTGTGACTTTATGCGCAGTTGGAACATTAACACTGTGTCTAATTATAGAGAATAAAACATTGCATTTACTATTCGATGATTCAATTAAAAATATGTTGCGCATAAAAGTAAAACCAAAATTAAACCATCACGCCAGGATTACACCAATAGTCATAAATGTTCCATTTTTAACCTAGATCATCATAGCTACACTTAATTTTGTTCAGTAATTAGCCTTAAGGATACTTTGGTCTGTGTTTAATGGAGTCACCACACGTATATTTCAGTACGACCCGCGAGGGACCCAAAACACTGAACTGTTTATCATTCCTGCTCACATTAAATATTTACTTGTCAACGACAGAACTGCATTGACGGATACTTGACGACTGCACTTGCCGACGGCACGCAACGAACGCATTTGAGTCAAGTTCAATTTGATGAAGCGCGTGTTCCGTGCTGCAACACACGCGCGCGCACCTGACACGCACGCACGCACGCGCACGCTTACCATCTCGGTCCTCAGTTTTGTGATCTTTTCATCCAGGCTCTTCTTCCCAGTCTCCTTCGTTGTTTCCTGCGCGGCGAGGGCCAGTTTGTCGTCTCCCCGGAGCGAGGATGCCTCTTCCCGCATCCACCTGAGCAAACCCTCGGGGGTCTTCCGGCCGATTTTCGCCTCTATGTCTTTCAGGTCTGGAGTGTTCTCACAAGAAGTTCCTTCATCCATCATGGTCATGGAACGCTGGTTAAAAAGAATTGATGGAGACAGATTTCCTCCTGTTGTTTGCTCCGAAATTGTCAGGAGAGTGACTTCCCGCAGTAGGCTACTCTGTGGCATCACATGCGAGTCCGGCTGAGGCGGACTGCGCCAGTATGGAAAAACAAACTGTCAGCATCGGACCGCTCATCGCAACTACATAGAACGGAACGACATCCTCAGCGTGTGGCCCCTGGCTCGGTAAGAGTTCTCCCGGCTGGAAGCCCGCTACCAGCTGCCAATCTGAGCACATTCCACCTGCATGATGACAGTCGCTTCGCCGCAGAGAAGCTGAGAACCACAGCACAGACTTGTCAAAGCCACTCAAAGATGAGATCACTCTATTTCCGCTATGGGCTTTTCAAAATTAAAGAGCAAAAAGGAACATGTTGAACTGTTTTTAAAACAACCAAAATAAAACAACGAACGCGTTACAAAGGCAAACTGTGGTTGGGGGACCACAACAAAAAACTTTTTGAAAATTATACTGATCAGCACATTCTTCTAGGTGTTCTTTTTGGGGGTGGTGATTCTGATCTGATTCTGCCCCCGTTTTTTTCCCCAGCACATCCGGTTTTCATAATAATAATAATTATAATATGTAATATTGTAATAGATTTGATCATATTTATGATTTAAGGGTGAGCTACAGCAACTGGTGGATTTTTATTTTGAAACATCATAGCTATAAATTACAATGCAGGGTAAAATATGTATTGTGCCAACATTTACAGGTCAAACTTAAAAGCAAAATAATAATAATAATAATACATTTCATTTGCAAGCGCATTTCACAACACTCAAGGACACTTTACACCAAGAGCAAATAATCACAAAAGTTGTGGGAGAGCAGCGGCAGCCAGAGCGCACCAGCGTTCACTCAACCCGGAATTAGGTGTTCACCACTCACAATTTTCAGGCCTATCACAAGCTCCGATCTTTAAAATGCCTGACCAGCTGATCCCGATTTTATTTTATTTATAAACAACGGCATACACCTTCTTATTGTAAAACATTGGACAATATCTGTGAAACAATACAGATGGGTTGTTTTAATTGCACAATGAAGCAGTTCTCTCAAATAAAACTGAAAAACTCTTCTCATTGTCATGTTTTGTGTGTGTTTGTTTTGTTTCATCTCCAGCTGGAGTGAAGGCGTTTCCCAGAGATGGGCACTTTACCCGATTGTGCCGGTCCGTCCTCTATCCGCGACCTGGGTACCCTTTTGTGAAGGGTGGTTCCCTGATCAGTGTTACCATCATCTGCCTTTAAAAGGACTGCCACGCCGACATGTCAAAGTCGGATTAGTCAGCCTTGCTCACAACTGTCGTACCAAGTGTTTGATTTTTCGAGATGTTCATGACCTTGCCTCATTGTTCTGTCGTTCGTGCTTTTATTTGCTCAAGTAAGCAGTGTTTTTGTCACAGTATTATTCTCGGTGTGATTGGATTATCCTTGTCCTTGTGTGACAAATGATTTTGCCTTATACGCTTCTTTGCATTTTGCAAGCGCCTTTGCTTTGTCTCGTTTTTTCCCTGGCTCTTTGATACCAGCATCTTTCCTTGTACTTTGTTGGTCTCACCTTATTCATTGATAACGCTTATCCTTGACATTTGTGTAATGCAGAGAATTCCGGAACTCTTACAGATCCTTGCATTATGAATATATAGATTTTTTTTTTTAAATGTATAACATTGTATTGTTTTACAATGAGCATATTTCCCAAACAGAGCATTTTCTGTCCATCTATCCTTATCAGTATAAAATGGTCATTTAAATACAAAATGAAACAAGATTCGAAATCCCTGAAAAGTATTATAAAGCTGGCGGCCCGGTGAACAAGTGGTTAGCGCATCGACCTCACAGTGCAGAGGTGCAGGGTTCGATTCCGACTCCGGCCTTCCTGTGTGGAGTTTGCATGTTCTCCCCAGGCCTGTGTGGGTTTTCTCCGGGTACTCCGGTTTCCTCCCACATTCCAAAAACATGCATGGCAGGCTGATTGAACACTCCAAATTGTCCCTCGGTATGAGTGTGAGCGCGGATGGTTGTTCGTCTCTGTGTGCCCTGTGATTGGCTGGCAACCGGTTCAGGGTGTCCCCCGCCCACTGCCCAAAGACAGCTGGGATAGGTTCCAGCACAACCCCCTGATGAGGATATAGCAGATCAGAAAATGGATGGATGGTATTAAAAAGCATTACAAATTAATGTTAAACTGCATTGTCGTTCTTGCTATATGCCATTTCCATTTCCTACTCTAGAAATGTGAACAAGCTTCTTTTGATGGATGAAATAACTTAATAGGGTCTGATTTACTTATTCAGGGTAAAGGTCGTAATTCAACAGTACAGTATCTTCGTGGGACGCACCCTTTTGAATTTATCAATGCATGATCTATCTCTCAGTATTTGTAAAGTGGCTAACACATTGTGCTATTTTGGTCGAAGTGAGCGCTAATAAGGCTATCACAAATAAAAGCGCTGAGCTGGGTCTTTTATCCGGCTGGTGAGCAGGAGGACCTGACTGAGAAGAGAAAATACTTTTAAAGTCAACAATGATGTGTGACTTCTTAGTAATGTGATTATAACACCTTACAGAATTGGTAAAAGCAGCCGTTCCATGCCCAACACACATGGTGAGGGTGTTACATGATGACCGATAAGGGATTGGCATAGAAGGAGGGGCCGGAAGGTATAAAGTCTGGATTAGTGACACTTCCCAGTCAGCAAAATTGGTCTGGCCCAGCTCTGGCGCGGACACGGCACGACACTCGGCCCACATACCGCAATGAATGACGGTCCTGCAGTGGCCCGGGTCCGGCATCCATGATCCGGGCCGCATTCGGCCCGGATCTGAGCCGCATTGTATAACCATATCCGACCCTACTCCGGCCCGACGCTGGGCCAGAACAGGTTCCTGATATCAGCCTTAATTCAACCTCAACTAAGCCACATCTTTCATGAGCCATATTTGACCCACATTAAAAAAAAAA